GCATGAAGTTATTAGACAATGAAACAATTGCCTCTTCTTCAAAACCCTAGAACCTCACCAGCACTGTGTCTACACCGACGGCTCAGTCCAATCGCCAACATAACTGAGTGCAGCAGACCGTAGGTGTTACAGCAACAACACTTGTACACACACACTGTTAGTGTCAAATTAAACAACTCTTTAACCTCCACACAAACATAACTAGCGGCACTGCAACCAGTTACCAGTACACTAAAACCCACAGGAGGAATAATTTGATGTGATTCTGGGGCCAGATTCACGAAAGCACTTACGCAAAAACTTACGAACCTGTACATCTTTTCGTAATCTTTGGCGGCTTTGTTTCCAATTATTAAACAGTTAATGAGCTCCGAAGCACCAGGAGGCTGTTTATAACAATAAAAACAGTTGATTGGCAAGTTTTCACGCTTGTAAACTGTTTAATAAATGTAACCAAAGCCGTCAAAGATTGAGGAAAGATGTACACGTTCGTAAGTGCTTGCGTAACTGCTTTTGTGAATCTGGCCCCTGCTCTTCAAGCACTTGAAAACTTCTCCTGCAAGATCGACATTAAGAACCTCATAATGACAGTCACAACTAACTCACTGCACAGAGTAAAGGCTTTAGAATTTATTTTGTATGGATACAATCTCACATAAATATAACCCATCATAATGACACAGACATTGCAGCCTAATTAGTTTAAAACAAGGATGACGTTAAATTAGATCTAGGTATCCCCATCTCTATTGTCAAGACTATATCGTTCCGATCACTCAGATCCACTAGGAGAGACATTACTGACTCCCGAAGGCTTGAAAGCACCAGTATAAAAAGCTATGATTTGTTCGCATCCGAAGCCTATGTTTATGGGCAGCACAAAACGTCGACCAGACTGTGCGCCACAGTGGTTGCCAGGATCAGGTTGGGTTACCGTTACCTGTGGCAGGTGGCTACCGTTACCTGTGGCAGGTGGCTACCGTTACCTGTGGTAGGTGGCTACCGTTGCCTGTGGCAGGTGGCTACTGTTACCTGTGGCAGGTGGCTACTGTTACCTGTGGCAGATGGCTATACCGTTACCTGTGGCAGGTGGCTACCGTTACCTGTGGCAGGTGGCTACCGTTACCTGTGGCAGGTGGCTACCGTTGCCTGTGGCAGGTGGCTACCGTTACCTGTGGCAGGTGGCTACCGTTACCTGTGGCAGGTGGCTACCGTTACCTGTGGCAGGTGGCTACCGTTACCTGTGGCAGGTGGCTACCGTTACCTGTGGCAGGTGGCTACCGTTACCTGTGGCAAATGGCTATACCGTTACCTGTGGCAGGTGGCTACCGTTACCTGTGGCAGGTGCCTACCGTTACCTGCGGCAGGTGGCTACCGTTACCTGTGGCAGGTGGCTACCGTTACCTGTGGCAGGTGGCTACCGTTACCTGTGGCAGATGACTATACCGTTACCTGTGGCAGGTGGCTACAGGTGGCGGATCTCCCAATCCTGAACACTCCAGTTGCAAACTCTGTGAGCAGGAACTGCGGCATGATCTCCCACACTACATCACTGAATGCCCAGTTATTAGACCATTCAGACCCGTTGGCATGAGGTACCTGGAGCTTTGCAATTACTTTATTCACTCTCGTGTTCTTGAATATATCCTCATATTGCACCCAAAATTTACCAGTGCAGACTACTGATCATATGGCCCTGAACGACCAACCATCCTGCGAGATGGATACTTTCCGTATCAAAGCTACTTTATTCACTCTTGTGTTCATGATGACATCCTCATAATGCACCCAGAGTCTGCCAGTGCAGACTACTTATCACATGCCTCTGTATGACTAACCATCCTGTGTGATGGGGATTTTTACCACCAAGTAGCTAGCTCTTGTCACACTACTACTCCCCTTCATATAGTCTAGGGTAGATAGTTCTTGACACACACTACTCCCCTTCATATAGTCTAGGGCAGCTAGTTCTTGACACAAACTGTACTCCCCTTCATATAGTCTAGGGTAGATAGTTCTTGACACACACTGTACTCCCCTTCATATAGTCTAGAGTAGCTAGTTCTTGACACACACTGTACTCCCCTTCATATAGTCTAGAGCAGCTAGTTCTTGACACACACTGTACTCCCCTTCATATAGTCTAGGGCAGCTAGTTCTTGACACACACTGTACTCCCCTTCATATAGTCTAGGGCAGTTAGTTCTTGACACACACTGTACTCCCCTTCATATAGTCTAGGGCAGTTAGTTCTTGACACACACTGTACTCCCCTTCATATAGTCTAGGGCAGCTAGTTCTTGACACACACTGTACTCCCCTTCATATAGTCTAGGGTAGATAGTTCTTGACACACACTGTACTCCCCTTCATATAGTCTAGAGTAGCTAGTTCTTGACACACACTGTACTCCCCTTCATATAGTCTAGAGCAGCTAGTTCTTGACACACACTGTACTCCCCTTCATATAGTCTAGGGCAGCTAGTTCTTGACACACACTGTACTCCCCTTCATATATTCTAGGGCAGCTAGTCCTTGACACACACTGTACTCCCCTTCATATAGTCTAGAGTAGCTAGTTCTTGACACACACTGTACTCCCCTTCATATAGTCTAGAGCAGCTAGTTCTTGACACACACTGTACTCCCCTTCATATAGTCTAGGGCAGCTAGTTCTTGACACACACTGTACTCCCCTTCATATAGTCTAGGGCAGCTAGTTCTTGACACACACTGTACTGCCCTTCATATAGTCTAGGGCAGCTAGTTCTTGACACACACTGTACTCTCCTTAATATAGTCTTGGATAGCTGCACAAATGCACATGTACCTAATTGTGCTAATAAACAAATCAGACTATGTCAGTAACTTCTTGTCACTTCACTAGGCTCTTGCGTGACACTAATCACACACACTGAACCCCTCGTTAGTGAAACTTGTAATTAACTAATCAGTGAATGTAAATCAATTCTATTTTGAAATCATAGCACAAACATTTTTAATCAGACGTTAATCACAAATTGTTTGCTCACATTTCTCAAGTTAAACAAAGTTAGTTTGTTTCTAGCATAAAAATATGCATATTAATGTATACAAAGGTAGTATACAAATGTATACACAGTATATGAATGTATACATAGTATGTGAATGTATACAAAAGTTAATATATGATTGTAGTCAAAGGTATGCCAGTAAAACTGTATTAACAAAAGAAACCAAAATTAACCAATGCTGAGTACTAATTGTAATTAAGAAGCAAATAAAATTATTATCTTCAGAAACTAAGACGGTTAGGTGAGGTCGTGGTTTTCTATTCAGTTTTTCAGGTAAACTCAAATATTCACAATATATTTGACAGTACGATTTAAGTGAAAATAACTAAGTGAAAACTAAGTGAAAATAAGTACAATTCCTAACTGTTATGAATAGTACATAATTGCACTTATTTGTCTTCTTACATTTACCACCCCATTTTTGGAGGTTGAATAATATCAACACTTCGACAGCTGCAGCACCGTGAATAACACCTGTAAACCTGCTTACACCTGTATAACACCTGTAAACCTGTTTACACCTGTATAACACCTGTAAACCTGTTTACACCTGTAAAACAACGCCAACAAAATCAGAAATATTTAGATATGGAGGTTCGAAACGTTGTGTAAATTTATAATAAGTGTTATACATTCTACCGTTAATTATTTCTTTTTCTTCACCTCGAACCAAGATAACATTTGGAGAATTCCTCTTCCAATTAAACTAAGACGCAAGAGCACTAGCCAGAGGGATAGAAGCCCTAAACAAGAAAATAATTAAGAGAGAGACAGAGACTTTTTATAGCACAATTTCTTGAAGAACTGGATCATAGCAGTTTCTAGGGATAACAATTTACATCTTTGTTGAGCTAGTAACTAATTTACTAACCATGCTCCCCATCCAGCCCGTCCTCCAAAAATGGGGTGGTAAATGTAAGGAGACAAATAAGTGCAATTATGTACTAATCATAATAGTTAGAAATTGTACTTATTTTCACTTAGTATTAAATCGTACTGTCAAATATATTGTAAATATTTGAGTTTACCTGAAAAACTGAATAGAAAACCACAACCTCACCTAACCGTCATAGTTTTTGAAGATAATAATTTTATTGCTTCTTAATTACAATTAGTACTTAACCTATAGCTGTATTGATATTACAGTTTTATAAAACTAATAAAACGAAACTAAAATATATCAATAAATTGTAAAGTAACTCAGGATATTTAAAAATTTTGTATAAAATCTATATTGTTTAATAAACCTGAAAAAGAAATTCCTGATATTTAAAACTTGTGTATTGCTAATTGAAATTGAAAACTGCATCCTAAAATTCTGAGTGTCATAACAGAAAACGAGGAGAATTAAATCGGGGGAGGGAGTTGGGTAAATATAACAGCCCCATAAGTACAATTATGCACTGGTTATGACAGTACGAAAGTGTATTTATTACACTTAGTATTAAATCGTACTGTCAATTCGGAGGATGGGTTGCCCCATCCTATGGGCGGGGGTGGAAACAGATGATATATATATATATTTTACACAGTTATGCTTCCTTCACCGGAATGTATAGCAAGTTACATTGAGTCTAAGACATATATAAGCATCACAAGTGCCGGGACGGGGCGGCAAAAACACCATTTCTTCTTGAAATGAGGAAATATATGGACACTGGCAACCCTTCGAAACAACGTGACTCAAAAAAATATTATTTCAGTATCGCTGCGGCATCTGAGGTGAGCGGATGTGTATCATCCGCTGTCTTACTAATTATAACTGCACGTGCGCCATGAATATCCTAGTGTGGGGCCCCACTGTTACCTCACCTGGGTACTCAATATTCCTCGGGCGTGCGTGTATACGCGGGCCTTCAGTCGGCGGCTGCCCTTAAGTGGACGGCAGCCGCCATTTCTCCATTTAGAAGTTCTGGAGGAAAGCTTCTAAATTCGTTCGGTCTACAGGTCTGGCGTTCTCCTTCACTGCTGTTCCTCCACCGTCACCTTGTGGGTACAACGGTGTGGCTTCAGCTCTCGGTCCACGATGGGCATTCCTTGGCGTCTACGCCGCCTTCCGCAGTAGCTGTAACCTTTGAGAATTACAGAAGGAAGTCCACTGGGTCGACAGATCTCCTGAGAGTCCTGGCGGGGCTGTAGATGATCATCCCCAAGCTTGTGTACAGCCTCATCACTCCGGACTCATCATGTGAGTGACTTTCCTACTTCCATATTACTGTCTCGTTGAACCAATAGAAACCCAGGTCTAGTCTCCGATGCTCGCTTTCAATTGGCCAAACAGGCTACGCATGGTCTGAACGTATCTGTGCTTTTCGTGACGTCACTGTCTCTCCGGGCGCAATCTTACTGCAGTATCTTCTCTGTTACGTACAAGATGACGGTAAAATGTATCTTAATACCTTCATAAGCATCCCCGTGGCGTAGTGGTAACATTCTCACCACGTTTTCCATGCTTATGTAGCCGGTTAGGTTAGGTTGGATAAATGTAGTACACACGTTTCTGTCCGTTGTGAGAACTGAAGAGGCTGCGTGTTTGACTGGAACGAGAATATGAAGTCAGAATTGTATAGCATGATAACCATCCTGTCAAATGGAGATTCATTTTTGTGTATTATCACGCCTATCTCTTGACACAAACTATATAACCCTTCATATACTTGAATTTAGCTGCATTAATGTGAATATACCTAAATCTTTTTCTCTAAAAATGTCTGTTGAAGGTTGGATGGAGGCTGATGTTAGGGGGTAGCCCCGTCGAACTTTGCAGGGTGACTGGTGGCCGTAAGGGAGGTATATCTTGAGGTTATCTTGAGATGATTTCGGGGCTTTAGTGTCCCCGCGGCCCGGTCCTCGACCAAGCCTCCACCACCAGGAAGCAGCCCGTGACAGCTGACTAACACCCAGGTACCTATTTTACTGCTAGGTAACAGGGGCATAGGGTGAAAGAAACTCTGCCCATTGTTTATCGCCGGCGCCCGGGATCGATCCCGGGGGTCAGATGTGTGTGGTAGCCTCGTCGAACTTTGCAGGGTGACTGGTGGCCTTAAGGGAGGTAGGGGTCAGATGTGAGTGTGTGTTTTGTGAAAAACTTAATTCCAAATTCACTAAAATCCATCTTTATTATTTTCTGTGATTAAGATGGTTACAGTGATGAAGATAGTGTGTAGTGTAGATGTGGTCACCGTGACCCGAGCACCGCCGGGTAGCCAAGCTAACCTGTTGATGACAGAGAGAGAGAGGCCCAGCTGAGTACTGGGTATGGAATGTGGGGGGGGGGATGACGCAGTTGACGTCACGTGGAACTCCAGTGATGACATCAGGAAAACTTTTTCATCCCGAGAATTCTACTACACTTCCGCCCCTGATGAGCGGGTGTGTGACCCGCGCGGCTCCTCCATGTTTTAGCAAGTTTATGTAGCGCCTGGTGCTACATACCTGCGTCTGGTACATCATACATGCGCCTGGTGCTACATACCTGCGTCTGGTACATCATACATGCGTCTGGTACATCATACATGCGACTGGTGCTACATACCTGCGTCTGGTACATCATACATGCGTCTGGTACATCATACATGCGACTGGTGCTACATACCTGCGTCTGGTACATCATACATGCGTCTGGTACATCATACACAGCAGGTATATACCTGCCCTGCTGTGCATGATGAGCAAAAATGGATGGCAACAGGTGTATTACTCATCGTTGAGGCAGTTTACCTCGCTTGAGAAAACCGGATGTCACCCGTGGATAGTGAAAGGTGTTATCAGCCGTCACTATAGCAATGACCGCAAGAAAGCAACAGGAAAATACCGCGTGCTGATTGGCGGATGTGTTGCTGTTTAGTGTGGGCAAGGCTAGGTTAGCGAGTGTAGCTAGGTCTTAGCGTCAACAAATGCTGGCTAGGTTAGCGAGTGTAGCTAGGTCTTTGCGTCAACAAAGGCTGGCTAGGCTAGCGAGTGTAGCTAGGTCTTTGCGTCAACAAAGGCTGGCTAGGTTAGCGAGTGTAGCTAGGTCTTTGCGTCAACAAAGGCTGGCTAGGCTAGCGAGTGTAGCTAGGTCTTAGCGTCAACAAATGCTGGCTAGGCTAGCGAGTGTAGCTAGGTCTTTGCGTCAACAAAGGCTGGCTAGGCTAGCGAGTGTAGCTAGGTCTTAGCGTCAACAAAAGCTGGCTAGGCTAGCGAGTGTAGCTAGGTCTTAGCTTCAACAAAGGGTATCCCAAGCAACCACACCTGACAGCACTGCCCACCACCAACATCCACCCCGACCCAACACAGGCCACATGCATCCCTGCCTCCAAAAAGCCGATATACTGTAGCCCCAACAACCAGCTTTGCAAACAATTTATATATTTTTTATTTATTTATTTTTAAATTTATCCCGCTTTCGTTAAATATAATGTGGTCAGTTATTTTAGGCGTGCTTGTGTGGGGTGTAGAGAGGGTGGCGGGGGTCACCACCTGCACCTGCGACAGTGCTGGAGCAGCCGCAGATACTCCATAGGTGTGCCTGCCGCAGGGCCGCACCCCAGGGTGGATAGGTCTGAGGGGGGAGATCCTGAAGGAGCCTTGCCTTCCCTGCACCATGATCCTCAATGTATCCTGTCAGGGGTTAGTCGCCCCCTCCCGCTGCTGGGGGAGGATTGACCCCAGCAGGGAGGGGGCTGCACTCACTGACCGCTGCCACACCTGGAGTGACTGCGGAACAAACCACATGTTCGAGTCACGTGATCCACAGTTTCCGTGCCCAGATGCACGCCAAGGGCCATACTGTGCCTATGATCTCTTGACGGAGGCGCAGCTAGATCTCTCTTTCCGCAGCAAGGAGACACGACTGGCAGCAGGTCTGAAGGTGCTGGCTGGAGAGCCGTAGATGATGACGTTGGTGCTGGCGTGGGATCCCTGGCGTCACGACGAGTCCATGTCCACCACTAATGTCCGTGTCCTGGCCACGGCTCCTGGACCCAGCCTGACCGCAACACCCCCCACTGATGTCACAGCCAACCATACTCACATTTTTTTGCACCTGGGGTGGGGTGGTGTTTTCGCAGGTGGAGCAGGAGGAGGTGCGGCTGGAGGTACAGTATCTAAATGACCACACATATTACACATCGCTGGAGGAAAACCGCATGCGGCAAGGGATCCAATTGCATAAATTCTCCTACATTGTGCAGGTGAGGAACACATGTAGCCATCCGAGGGTGCTGGGGGGCGGCGGCATCCGGACACACCTGCGGTAATCTCGTTTGCGGTTGGAGGCTACAATGCACTTCAACAGCCGCACCTGTGACCCTGTTCACCCAACCTTCTGCTGGACCCTCCACCCCCTCCCCCGCCCGACCCCTGTGAGGGAAAGTGGGGGGGGAAGGAAGGGTGCCTGTCGACGGACCTGCTGTTATACATGCCAGGGCGCAGGCTCACCCCAGGGACCTACGCTCTCCGCCTCATAACTTCCCTGTCCCCCACCGGGTAGACTCCCCTATGCACGGGGGGGCGTGGTGAGGGTCGTGGCCTCACGCCCCAACTTCACCATCCCTGGAGGATCATATGGGACTCACATGTTTAGGTCTCCATTGCTGTTGGAAGCCCAGTGGAAAGACCCTGAGGAACCCTCTGGGACCACCACCGACTTGCCACTTATTGAGTGGTCCTGTAAGTCCTCGAACTTACCTCTGAGGGGCGTGTATACCATCCCACTAGAAGTAGACCCCCGCGTCTCCTTAAGAAAGCGCGGCCAACACATAGTGATTCCGTCCGTCCTGTCTGTCGACCACAACTACGCCTTCACTGCACGGGTGGAGGTGAGGGTGGTGGGGGAGGAGTTGCTCCCCTCCCTGAGACTCCACTGTCACAATTACTGCCCCTCCACGACCCCCACCCTCAACCCCAACGACGTATGGGTGATGTGGGTGGAGTGCGTGTCGTGCAGCCTCCACCCAGTGCCAATCATGTACGAGTGGATCATCACGCGGGTCGACGTCACCCCCCACCGTCAGGTAGAATGGGTTGGGCTCGACAATGTGACAGGGGTGGAGGGTTCTATCAACAATTATTATTATTTATTAACATCTTTATTGACAAAATTAATTACAATTTTGCCTAATCTGAGGATTTTGATAGTCTTATTAAATTGAGGTTAATGCTAGTATTCACTGTCACGCAGGACAGAGGGTCATACATAAGACAATAGGCCTAAACTGTAGGCTGAAGCACATATATATCACGGTTACAATCAATGTTTTAATGTGTGGATATGTGAAAACAACTTTCTATTGTGCACTGCCACACAAGTGCAGGGATGGGTTCATAAGTGATGCAGCTTAGAGTATAAATAGAAATTGTTCTTCATTCTTTAAAATGGACATGCAAATTTTGGGTAAATTGTTAGGATGTCGTCCAGAACACCTGAGTCAATAAAATAGTTACACAGTTGGTGGTACAATAGGCCAGGAGGTCTAAAGTCCTTTACGGTTTCACATTCATCAATATAGTGTTCTAGTGAATGCATTAAAGGTTTATCACAGAGTTTACAATCTGAATATTCTGGTAGTGGCTCAGCCTCACTAACCTGCCAGATGTGTCTATAGCCAAGGCGAATTCGCGCAATTACTACATCACATTGCCTGGTCCGGTTACTGTGCTGACCATACAAATACCTATTATTACAGAACTTGTCATAACTTTTAATACTGCAGCTTTCAGGTCTCTGTGCATTTCTTAGTTCTTCTAAATCTGAATTAATTTCTTTAATTTGTATGTTTCTAATAACTGCATTAGATAGTCCAAAATCATAATCAATGTTTTCTTTCCTGCAAGCCTCATTGGCCAATTGATCTACAAAGTCATGTTTTTCAACTCCAACATGGGATGGGATCCACACAAATTTTATACAAGAATTATTATCATTGGCAAAAATTACATTCCATTTAATATTACAAGCTACTTCCGACATACATTGTGATGGGTTATTTAAGGACTGCAGAGCACTTTTAGAGTCACAGAAAATAACTCCACCACCATTGAGCTTAAGGTATTCAGTGGCTAGATAAATACCCAATAGCTCGGTCTGTGTCGTGCTTGCCCAGTTGTTCAATCTCTGTGTACTAGTCATGATCATTTCATTCCCTTTATACACTGCACATGCACAACCTGTTCTACCAGTGCCTAACTGCACAGAGCCATCAGTAA